TTTAGCAACTAGCACACGAACAAGAAAAGCAGTAGGCTGCGTTATGGACTGTCTAAAATCTTGTGGGTAGAGGCAGTCAATTTTAAAGGTGTAAAAATGTAAGAACTAATATTGAATGATACCTTCAAAAAGCAGAAGTAAGAATATAATAATTTTAAAGATTTAAATGTAGGAAACTCAAAAACAGAAGAACGTAATGATGGAAGGAAACTTTGGTAACAGTAATAAACATCGATGGAAATGAAAATCAGAAAAATAAAATGAGATAAATTAAGATAAAAGAAATGCTATTTTGCATAACAGAACTTAAATAAGCTTCAGGAAAAGTTCAGAAAACCTCATGGGGAAGCCTTTTTTTGTTGTACCAGAACAAGCAAAAGGAAAAATGTTGCCCATTCAGAAGAATGGCAAAGGAATGGTAGGAAGCCAGGTTATACATTTAAAATATGGTTTCTAGGTATGAATTTATGAACCAAGGGTTTCAGAAGTAGTAGCCTAAGACTAGCATGGGAAGAGAAAAATGCTTAGCAGTGAGATAGAGACTATCACTTCACAAAAGAAACCAAACTTAAACTACACTGATACACACAAGAAATAATAGTTTTTTTATACAATGTCTTAGTCAGCCCTCATCTAGAGAATAGTGTTCAATTCTGAGTGCCACCTGGCCCTCAGAAATAGGAAATGTTTTGGGTTCTGTGGTCCATATGATCTATATCTCAACTACTCAATTCCACTGTTGCGGTGGAAAACAGCCATAGATAATATGTTAACAAATGGGCATGGCTGTGTTCCAATAAAGCTTTACTTACAAAAAGAGAGGTGCCAGATTTGGACTTGGCCCTGTTTTGGATGAGAAACATTGATAAAGATAATCCTAGTGTTTAGGGGCCTGGAAATCCTAACACACAAGGGATGATTTAAGAAGTCATTAATATTTAGCGTAGAGAAAATATACATCCTAGAATTAATAAAATTTGTTTTAAGACACTCAGATATAAGACATCCCCATTTCTTCATTTAATAAAATTAATTTTGTCTTCATTCTCCACTACTAAGTCTGGGAAAAAAAATTATTCTCAGACTTATGTGATACTTTCCTTGGGAATCAGTGAGAACTACAGAATTCATAAATCCAGAAAATTGTGGAAAGGCCTCTGATCTTCAGCTCATGGTGGTTCTCACTAGAATATTTGTTGCCTAATGCTACATGGTTAAGGCAAATGCAGGTGGTTCTGCTACTCCTATGATTATTTTTCATTCGCATGCCACACCTGGCCACTTGGTCCTTCACCTTGGCTCTCAAGGCTTTAGTGCTCATCATTTTCTTGTTGGGCTGTGTAGTCTAGGAACAAAATTTGCAAGAACTTGCCATTCATCAATATTCCCAGGCTCAGAAGAAAATCGAATTCTCTTTTCATGGGGCCCAGCCACTACCATCCCCTTTCCTAGAAGCACCTATTCAGTGGTATAGATTTGGCAAGAGGTGAGGCAGATGTTCTTCTTACAATGCTGGCCACAGTTTCAAAACCATCTTTGGACTGGTGGTCCCACAGAGGCCCTTCTGGTCATCTTGAAACATATTTTAAGATCTGGGTGGAAAAAGGAGGCATATACATATGAAAAAAACTGACAGTTCAAGGAAGCAAGTGGTAAATATCAAGTAAATCATGAAAAAGAAAACAAATGGTATGTGAGCTAAAAAAGGGGGATAATTTTCAGGTGGAATAGACCAAAAATATCGCTTATTTATTTTTTAATTTTTATTTCCAGTCAAGACTTTTACCTGAGCTCTAGTCTCTCTCCCCCCCACCTTTCTCTCTCTCTCTCTCTCTCTCTCTCAGACACACACACACACACACACACACACACACACACTTAAATTCCATCCCAATATTCCCACACTGGTACTAAATCCAGAAACTATTTTAAATTCCTTCATCTCCTTTACATCCCACACCCAGTCAGTCATCATCATTATCAAGCTATGTCTTCACCAGAGCATCTCTCATTGCCCACAGTGCCATCCATACTGCCTTTATCCTATTTCTGACCCCAGTTATATACTACATGCATTTCAGGACAGTCTTATTTGGCCCCTTTGCTAGCACAACCTCTCCCCATTTCTCACATCATTCCAAGCTGCCAGAGTGAGCTTTCTAAAGTACAAATCTGATACATCTTTCCAATCTACATCCTAAGGGCTTCCATTGCCTTCAAGTTAAAACTCAGACTCCCTGTCTTGACATGGATGACTTTATCGTATGGCCATTGCCTACATATTATTTCGTATTTCTTACTATTTTTCTTATTGTTTTTATTAACCCGCAGTTCCTTGAAATGGGCCATAATCTCTTTCAACCCACCCCTTTGACATTTCCTTCAAAAAAGGCCATCTCCTTTGATTCTATAGCCTGATCAATTCTCCAAAATTAAGCATCAGTGGAGCCTTTTACTCCCAACACTGAGAAAGTACCTCTCCCTGTGCTCTTTAGAAACCTACACATATATTCTCTAACACTTACTCCACACAGTAAAAAACTATCCATTGTCTTAGTAATAAATCTCAAGATTATGAGCTACTTGTTAATATGAATAATGCCTTTCATCTTAATAACCCTAATACCTGAGAGATAATAGGAAATCAATATATTTATGTCATTAGCAAAGGCTTAAAATAGAAAACTGATCTTCCCAGAATGACTATCGATCTTCATGTTGTTAAATCAAGTGCTCAGTTCTCAGATCTACCAGCAGTTTTTGTCACAATCTGTCACTTGCTTCACCTTGAAACACTTTCTTTACTTGATTCCCATGTCTTCACACTCTTCTGGTTTCTCTCTGATTGACCCTTGTTACTTCTCAGTCTTCTTTGTTGGCTCATCCTCATGTCATCTTAGACCTATTCTCATCTCATTTACACTCAGTCCCTTAGTGATCTCAGACTCCCAAGACCTGATGCTGTCTCTTTCCTGACCATGCTCAAATAATCTCTCTTGCCTGGACTTCTTCCCTAAACTCTAACTCCCTGCTTGACAACTTTAGTTGACTTTACAATAGAAATTTCAAATTCAACATCTTTTTTTCTTCAATTTTATTGCGGTATAATGGACAAATAAAATGTAAGGTATTCAAAGTATATATGGTGATTATTTGATGTATGCATATATTGTGAAAGGAGTCCTCCCATCTGGTTACTTAACACATCCATCACCTCTAATATTTACCTTTTTTGTATGTGGGGAGGGCGTGGTGGTAGGATGGAGAGCATTTAAAACCAAATCTCTGATCTACCCAAAACCCTGTTCCACCCTGCCTCCCTTATCCATCAATTACAACTTCATCCTTGTAGTTGCTCAGACCAAAACATACTTTTAGTTATATCTGACTCTACTTTCTCTTACTCCTCACAGACATTTCAGCAACAAAACATTTGACTCTAATCTTAAATATGTTCAGAAGCCTTCACTAACACCACCCTGCTCCAAACCACCATTACCTCTCATTTGGCTTCTTCCATTAGCCTTCTATTTGATCTCCTGCCTTCCACTTTTGTTCTTCTCAGTCTATTTACAAGCCTGCAATCACAGATATCTTTTTAAAATAAGTCATTTCAGTCACACCCTTGATCAAAACCTTTAAGTGACCCTCCATCTTAGTCAGAATCAAAGCCTACATCTTAACATTGGGCTATAAGCCCTCATATTATCTAACTCCTCATTATCATCTCTTTACTCCCCCATCCCTCACTCTGCTTTAGCCACACAGTCTCCTAGGATGTCTTCAAGCAAGCAACATGTTCCTGCTTTAAAGTCCATGCACTAGCATGTTCTTTCATTTCCTTTAAGTCTTGGCTCAAATTTTATTTTCTTGGTAAGGGATTACCTGGATCTCCCTATTAAAAATTGCAGACCCCCTATATCCATTCTTCATATCTACCTCTTCTGCTAAAGTTTTCTCCATAGCACTTATAACCTTCTATTTTATTTTATTATATTTAATTATTTTAGTATTTATACTTAATTATATTGTAATTTATTGTAATTCTCCCACCAGTGCAATGTGAAGTCCCTTTGGGTAAGAGTTTTTGTCCCTTTCTTCACTACTGTCCTTCAGACTCCAAAAGATTGTCTGGTGCATAATCTTTCAATAACAGTTTCTGAATGAACAAAGGGTATACACATTTTTGCATTCCTGAGTGCCTGACAGTGCCTGGATTATAATAGTATTTTAATGTTCAAAAACACATGAGATAATTACTGTAGCCATTTTAAAGATAAAGGAACTAAAATTTCTAAGATTTGAGTCAATGATGCCTCCAGAATTTCTGTAGTCAGGACTTAAGGATAGCATTATGGTTAGTGGGAGGATAAAAACTTGGAACTCAGAAAAACACTATCTTTTCTTACATGGTACGCTGTATTTGAGAATGGCTTAAAAAGTGCTGATTACATGTGGCACAGGCCAACATACCTCTACCTTTGGCACCAACTCTTGCTCAAGGTTTTACTGTTTTACAGAGCTGTATCCCAGCCAGTATCTTTAGGAGACAATGAATACAACAGTCTGTCTATAACAGAAGTTCATGTAGGGAAATAGAAAATGACAAGATTGATGGTGAAATGATGGCCATATTGTGGGGTTTTAGAATGCTTTGCTCAGAATTGGCTTCCTCCATTGGTTCCCAAATCTGTGATTCTTAAAAATGTAGATGTTGTGGACCCACCCTATACCTCCTACTGGTATGGATATTTAACAAGTTTCCGGATTTGTGTTAAGCAGCCAGCTCTGTATTTCCACCATAGATTGGCTTTTGGAAGTATGGTAAGCAGGTAGCAGTTTGCATGTATTATATATTTGCTGTCTACTCCTCTCTATAAAATACTCCCATTTCTGTGCACTGTAAAGCCAGGTAAATCTGACAGGGGGTGAATGGAATGTATTTTGGAGCAATGTGTGATGGACTGCCTCACAATAGTATTTCTCTCCATCTGTTATAGGTCAATGCACAAACTGGCCCAGTTGGAAAGACTTGACCTAGGCAATAATGAATTCAGTGAGCTGGTAAGCGAATGCATTTTCTAAACTTTATAAATATAGCCCAGGAGATTATTTATTTTGTCTCTATAACCCCAGGTATTAAATTATCCAAGTGCACATTTGCATTTCTAAATATAAAAACAAAATGAAACCCAGGAAATAAAGTGATTGTTTGACTATATAGTAAAGCATAGAGAACTGGAGAGTATTAGATTCACTAAAAAGGAGAGAAAGAGAGAAGAGGAGGAGGTAAGGAGATGCAAACTGATGATTTTGAGCACCAGCTATGAGCAGGCACCAACTGCAGTGTGTCATATATATTATCTCACTTAACCCTTATTTGACATGTTGCCATGTTAACTTTATGGAAATGAGCTCAAAGTGGTCACCAACTTACACAGCTTTTATGTCGTTGGACAAGAATTAAAGACTTCATTAACTCAAAGTTCACACCTTGAAGACTTCTGCCTTTGAGGATGCTTAGAGGATAGGAGGGTTTAAAGGCCTTCCATTTACAATTGTACTGAAAGTTTCTTTCTAGTGAACACATATTTCCATCTTGCTGCCAAAATTGACAGAATTCTGACTACTCCTTTCAGGCTTAAACTTTCTTTAAAATTTGCCTGAAGACCAAAATCTCAAATGCAAATTAGAAGGCAGATAGTCCTTCATAAGCAGACTCTTTCTAATGCAGAAGTCTCCTCTTGAGCATCTTCAGATTTCAAAAATGCAATTCATCTAAAACATATTTTAACTATTTTGAAATTAAAACATTTAATTAAGTAATCAGCTATTCTCTTCCAGCTGTGTTGCTAACAATGTGACCTTGGGCAAATTACTTAGCCTCTCTAAGCCTCTTTTTCAGTTTCTCTAAGATGGAAATGCTAATGGCTCCTTCTTTACAAGGCTAGCATGAGAATTAAATGAGATAAAGCACGTACCAGGCCTGGAAAAAAAGAATTCTCAGTAAATGCCAGTGTACAGGATATAATCCACACTTCATCTTGAATGTGCGAAGAAATTAACTTGTTGGACTTTGACCAAACACTAATCTGGCCATTATTCCAGCCTCTATCAACTGTTTCTTGAGGGTAAAAGCTGACATTTAGTCTTCTACAATTAAAAGTATAGTCTGATTTAGGAAGTTACAAGATCCCTTTGGGTTGTGTTCATCTTCCTTGCATAACAATTCTGTCTGTCATGTATCTTCGCACCTTCCCCTGCCTCTCTTCATAACATGGAATTTGGGCATGTGCAAAGGAAGCTATAGGTCTTTCTGAAGAAAAGGAACTCCCTGGTGTCAGTCTGGTTTTCAGAAGTGTGCTGGCAGACAGGCTGGCCTCTGGCCTGATGTCTGCACCTGATCCTGCCCCCTGTGTTAAATCTGGAGTTTTGAACCATAGTAAGTTCTTTGGGCTCAGGTGAGCACTGGCCAGCTCCCCCTTGCTCCCATTGCTACCACTCAGCTCTCATGACCTGTTAGCTATATTAGTCTCTATCCTGTCTCCCCTCCAGGATCAGGCTGGTCATTCCATCCCCCCCTTTCTGTTGTGAAGGTATCTCACTAGCCTGAATGCCAGGAGTGACCCTATAGCCCATGTGCAGGCTCTGAGGGTCCACGTGATGTGTTAACTGAGAGAGGCCCAGTGAAAATAAACTTCAGAGCCTCCCTCCACCTGCTTCATCACACCACCAGGTTTGCCGTGTTTTGGATGCACTCAACTTGGTTATAGGGCAGTTTGCAAGGTGGCCTCAACACAGATATGGGGGCAAAACGACTCAGTTCATAATCCAATGTACCTCGGGCTTTTCTAAGGTAGATACTTATTAATAAGGTAGGTAGATAGGTTGATAAGGGTAGGGAATAGCCGTGGCAAAACTGTTTTATACTGGGAGTTTAAAATTTAGTTGTTAAAAAGCTACAATCTGCCCAGTAGCTGGGTCTAGTGGCTGAAAGAACATGGACCGTGGATTCAGACAATGCGGTTGGACTCTCAATTCCATCCTTGGCTAGCCGGGTATCTTTGGGTCTTTAGCTCACTGTCTATCTTCAATAAAATAAGGGTATAAAAGTCATCTGTCTCATAGACTTTTTGGGAAAATTCCATGCAAGAGAATCTATAATAAACACTCAATATATGTTTCTATGAATTTTGATTCTGTCAGGTATATGACTTTTGAAATCAAGTCTATAAATATTTGGACCAAAAATATGAATAGGATATATTTCTATGTTTTTGAAAATAGACATAGTAAAAATAAACTTAAAAAACATATTATTTTAACTTATACTTTATGGTATCTAAGAAATCATTATTGAGGAGAAATATTTTTTTTATTTTTGAACTCCCAGTATTCCATGCTAGTCACAAAGCAAGTCTCTCTAAGAAAACGTTTTTCATTTGTCCCTGGACCACTTATTCGATAATACTGAGTTACTTGGCATTGGCAGCAGGGAGGAGGGTTGGAGAGTATAATTAGGGAATTTCACATTTCTGTCATTCACTTTTAATCAGATGTCTGGCTTTTATTAGTCATATGTGTGGGACTAGCTGTTGTTTCCCTGAAAGTAACAACTTTTAATGAGAAAATAAGAGAATTTGCTTTGATAAGAGGCCTCTAGAAACAACGTCATGTGTAGGAAAGGGGATAAGTTCCATTCCGTAACTAGGTATTGACACCTAGGAGATTACTGTTAGAGAATTCATTTTGTGTGACATTCTAAAGAGACAGACATGCAGAGAGGATGATAATAAGTCAAAAAAAAAAAAACTTACACTGTAAAAGTCTAATAAAAAGAACAGAAGTTTGCTTTCTTGAGACTCAATGTAAATATACTAAATTATGTTTGAAGTAGAAAGATCTACTTAAGCTTGCCTTTGTTATAATGAAAGATTCTAAACAGAAAGAATTATTTTACATTTCTAACAGCAGTAACCACCAGAAAATACTGGGCAAAGTTCTGAGAACATAATGGATTCTCAAAGGTTTTTTATTATTGTTGTTTCTTTCATGGCTTATTTTTGTCAATATAAAATTAACAAATATCCATTTTTTAAATTTAAAAAGTTAAAAGAATTGTAAAAATTATAGTAAAAGTCATCCATGATCTCATCCCCTTATATAACCATTACCAATGTTTTTGGTATATTCTCCCCCTGCCACCATCATTTTTTAAATTAGATCAGATGAGTATTATTCGGGGCCAGGTTAGAGATGGGACATATTAGGTTGATGCGTTGGATAAGATCAATTCTTAAAACTCCTCTATATACTCTTGGTAGACAGCCTTCTAACTGTCACAGAATAACCAGGAGCTTCCCAAAGTCATAGAATGGTCAAGGACACTAAAACAGATTCAGTGATTGCCATGGGGCCCAGGAGCCCTATGATAGGTATATATATTTTATGTGTATATAGAGCTATCCAATGGACTAAGAGTCCTATTCATCCTGCACTGTTAGTGGAAATAGCGAAGGCCCTGAAAGCAAATCACCATGAGTGAGAATACTGGAAAAGGAAGCAGACTGAGCAGCAGAGCCTGGAGGAAGATGGGATCGTGGATCCAGAAACAATGTGAGGGCATATGTCCATCCCCCTCATCAAGTCCCAGATTCCAGCTCCCAGCCTCTCATTCCCTTCTCTCTCCCTTCCCTGTATTGACAGATAATAAAAAAAGTGTCACTCAGAGCCCCCCAAAAACTCTGCTATGGGAACTTTCATCAAGAGTAAGCTCTAAGAAACAAAATAAGAAAGCTTCTTTGCAAACCAGAAAGAGAAAAGAGCTGAGCCCGGAGGAGGCAAAGAGCAGACTGCCAAGTAGTCTGTGCGTGGTTCAGGGTGCAGCCACGTAATGCAGGCAGGCAGGCATGGCTCACAAAGAGCTGACAGCACTCTGAGTGACACAGTGGGCAGTGGCGAAGAAGAACAGAGAGAATGGTGGTCACTGGAGCATCTCTTGTTATGTGGGAGGTTCCCTGTTCTCCACTCCCCTCCCTGCCACAAAACCACTCCTAAAAGGAATAACTGGGGAGGAGGATCCCAGGAAAGGCCTGATTTCTTGATCTCCTGCTATTCAAGTGAAGGGAGGTCAGAGAAGTGAGATTTGAAATTGCACTATAACTGAGACATAATACGTACTGGTTATATGTGTTTTTATAGAGATAGTTCTGTTTACCAAATTGAAATTATAGTGTGCATTCTATTCTATTAATGCATGATGATCAAATTCAAATAAATTCTTTATAAACATTATGAGTTAGAAGCTTTCTCTGCAGCTGAATTAGGAAGACTATCAAATAATAGCCAAAAAACAAATAGTGAAATTTAAAAGATGCTTATTTCATCTCCTCAAAGGAAGTCTTTCTGCCTCTCTACCTAAAATTATCCAGTATTAATTTTCCAGAATTTGAAGTATGATAGATCATTTTAAGAGTATTGCCAACCCTTTGAACTATTTAATGTACCAGTTACTGACAGAAAGATTTCTAAATTATAGGCCACTCGCTCTGGATTAAAGAACACAACATGAATTTTAAAAAACAAACACCTAAATAGAGGAACAAAAATATTTAAAGAGCAATATATATATGCATATATATATACATATATATTTTTTATGTGATAAAAAATTTAATTTTTTAAAAGACAATGCAAAGATTGATTATATTTAAAGTCTAGCAAATTCATCAGAAAATGAGCAGTATCATTCTAACTACCTAATATTTGAGACAGTATGTCAAGCAGTCTTTATAAAAACATTTCATAAATTCAGCCATCCATGAACTATTATTAGAGGATTGATATCCCATAAAACTTCTCCTTAGAAAAGCTTAAAAAATATTCTGCACTCTGCAAATCACCAATTTGAATGCTTAGTAAGGCTACAGATCACCATGGGCAAGAATTTCTAATATTAATATTCAAACTGAATTACTTTTATTGTTTTTTATCACTTTATTTGTAGGGTTAAATAAAAATTTCAAATAGATAAAAAAAAGAATGGAGACACTGAGAAGAAATGC